TAGTGAGGAAGAGGTTGAGAGTAAGAATGGAAGATGAACAATTGGACTGTTGAAGAGAGTGAGATGATAATAGAAGACTCCTATTGAAAAAACTTTAAAAATATATAATAATAAATATAATGTTTATCCCCTTAACCTCTAATGAAAAGGTTAAAATAATTTTTGTTTTATTTTTTTATGGAAAAATAATTTTTGTTATTGCTTGTTATTTTAATTTTTTAATAAGAGTTTAATGAATTCTCATAATTTTAGAATGTTTTTAATTTCTTTTCCTACAAATTAAAAACTTTAAAATAATGATCAACTTACATATAAATCCTTATGTTTAAGTTTGGTTTCAAGAAAACAAAAGAAATTGAAATAAAATTTCTCAAAAAAAAAAAAAGATTGAAATAAAATAATACAATATCTTTCTATTTCTCTTTCATTCTCCTTATTAATTTAAATAAATTAAAATAATTTAAAAAATAAAAGTAGAAAATTCTTTTAACATGTTTTACTAGTGAAGAGTTGTCTTCTCTCTCTAAAAATCAAATATATTTTTATCTAAAATCTTAATTATTTATCCTTTTAATTATAAAAAAATTATATAAGAGGATACCATCTCATCTTACATATTGTACAGAAATTAAATATTAAAAAAATATTGTATAATTTATCAAATTATATCTTACTAATTATTGAATAAAAGTGTCTTAATATTGAGAATCTTTTTATTTTTTTTTATTTTTTTAATTTGAATTGTATAGTTAAAAAAACTTTCTCTTATTTTTTAACTTATCTCTACCTACTTACCATACAATTTAAACTAATAACTTCTTACTTTTAGTAAAAAAAAATTATCACTAAACAACTAACTCATTAACAACCTGCTCTAATTTAGTATTTTTTATTTTTATAATTTGATATAATTTATACAATAAAACAAGAAACACAAAACATTATAGACTAGGGAATTTTTGATGGCTTTACTCCATTGCTAAATGTCATCGTGGGTATCTCGTGCATGACAACAAAGGGAAAGTTCGGTTCTTCTAATGACAAAAGACACTCCTGGCATGATGCTAAAACGTCAAATCTGCCCCATAGCTACATTGCTTTCGTGGTTTGTTTTCAACGAGGATTTGAGGTGAGTTTGGGTCAGTATGAGAATTGTCTCCACATCTGTTTTAAAGTGTTTTTTTTTTTTTTTTTCAACTTAAATTTCAAAGAAAATGTTGGACTACATTATTAATTATTGATAGATGAATGAGCCTTCAATATTAAAAGCCATATTTTAGTATTTTTAAAATTTCAAAATTAAATAATTTTCATTTATAAAGAAAATTCAAAATTAAATTGTTTACGTTTCGGGTTAAAGAAAATCAAGACGTTATTTCAATTAAAATGTCAAAAATAATAACAAAAGATTTTAAATATATTTATTAATTAACATGTAAAAAATATTTATTAAATGTATTTAAATAATTTTACAAAATTATGATATCTTAAAAGTGAGAATATTTTGATTTTATTTTTTTTCTTAGTATTTTCTTTATTCATTGAGTTGTCTAACTTTTCTTTTTTTTTTTTTTTTTTTTTTTTTTTGTTCTTATTTGAGTTATATAATAATAGACAACTCAAATAATAAGAGACTCACTTAGGAAAAGAAAAGGTTTAATTATGTTCATTTTTAATATTAAATAAAATGTAATGATACAAAGATTTATACATAAATGTAGTATCTATTTAGATAAACTTGAATGACTTTTCATACTAATAACAAGTATAACTCTCTTTTTAATTAAAAAAGTGTTATGAAGTAAAGGTGGCTATTACACTTTTTTTTGTAAACAAATAATAGTGATTTCTTTGGATATTACTTCTTCAATATGGGCATTACTTGTAACTATAATTTTTTTACATTAACATGTGATTCACTCCTCGGTTACTCTTCCATGCCTTCAACAGAAGTTCTCTACATTGAAATGTGATTTACTCTTTCACATTTTCAACTAAATTTGTTTATTGAACAATTAATATTAATTTTATAAGTTGCAATTTCTCCATGTATAAATATAATAATTTTATATGAAATAAGTGAAGAGTTATAAGTTTTCTTTCTAAATCTATAAATAAAAGCACATCTCAAAGCTTATATTCTAAATCTAACTTATAAAATAATACTTAATTACTAATAAATCAAATTATTGAGATATCACTTAATTTGAGATATCACTTAATTTGTTGAGGATAATTAACCTTTGGGTATGAGTTGAAAGCCCAAATTAGATGTCAAAATAGGACCTATTTATGTTGGTCAATAAAAAAAATGAGACCCTATATGTTGACTTCAGCTAATGTATAACTTTTTTTTTTGAACAGGTATAATTTAAGGGTAGGAGATGGAGAATTGTAGTATGATATGACCATGATTCCAACTTTAGTTATTGTCAAAGCATTAGGTGTACTTATGGGTGGGCAAAAATCAATTTCGGTTAAAATTGAAACCGATTTTATATTAACCAAAAATTTTTTCTTTAATTTTGAAAACCAAAATCAAACCAAAATTTTCAAAAATCAATCGGTTTGGTTTTGGTTTTAACCAAATAAACATTAATTAGTTTTTTTTCCAATAATAGATTATATTTCATGTAATATTTTATCATATTTTGTTATATTTAACCAAATTTTGGTTTTCATGTGGCTCTTTTCGATTTTTGATTTGTAAAAATTTAAACTAAAATCAAATCAAAATTTATTTAGTTAATATCAAAACCGAAATAGTAACACTCAAAAACCATTGAAATGAACCAAATTCATTTTTTAGTTTAGTTTCTAAGTAACCATTCAGTTACCCAACCAAATGCCCACCCCTAGGTGTAATAACCAAATAGCCCATGAGGTGTGGTGCTAGCTACTGTATAGATAGGCTACAAGTTTATGGATTGATACGACTTTTCCTTTATCTTTTGGCATGTGAAGTTGAATGGGTGACTCGCATAACTAAGCTTAATAAGTTTATTGGGTTTTAGTTTGACTCATTGAGAAATTAAGCTTTACTTCTTCTCAAAAGGGAAAGAAAAAAAAAATTAAGCTTCACTAGTTTGGAAGTTACTTGCAAACCCTCTTTATATGTATATAATATACAATTTATTTAATCTTTAAAATTATCAAATTACTTAAAAAATTTTATTAAGTTCAAAATTAAGCTCATTAAGAAAACCAATTGAACTTAAATCAAGTAGCTAATAGAAGGAGAAAAGATTCGTTTCAATTTTAAAACCTAAAATAAGTCTAGAAAAGATACAAATAGACTATTTGAATTAGTTTTTGTAAAACAATTAATAATTAATTATTGATATCTAACAACTAATAATTACTTATATTTTTAATTTAAAATATTTAATTTATTGGATGAAACAATTGATAGTTATTTCTAAAAAATTAAAACAAATGCCCCTATATTATTATTTTTAATATTTTTAATCAAACTGGTATTTCAAATTTATGAATTTATTAACTAATACATTTTGACCAAATTGATCGAAAAAATTCACAAATTTATTTCTGGCAGGCATAAATGTTAAATACATAATATTATTTTCGATTTTTTTTTACCAAATTGGTATTTCAGATTCACCCTGAGAAATTTTTAAATCAAACAGGCAAACAATAACTTCAATTTCTGAAAATAAAAGCGGGGAATTTGAAATCATTTGGAGTGGCGCCCAAATCATATCCACCAGTAAAATAGAAATCGAAAAAGCCCAGCTTGAAAATCATTGGTCAGTTTTCAACCACACGGATCGCACTAAAACAGCTCTCAGCCGTTGATGAGCATCCAATCAACGGTTATTATTTACCATCCTTCCCCTGTAAAGAGGCTTCTAATGAAAATTGAAAGCCCCCGCCAAGCCAACATAAAAGCGTGGACGAACCACCCACTTCTACGTTTTCCATCATCATTCTCCGGCATCTGAAGTGTTTTTTTCTCGGAACTAGTTGGGGTTTTAGCGATGGATACCGGCGAGAAAGTGAAGAAGGGGGCTGGAGGGAGGAGAGGAGGCGGTCCGAGGAAGAAGCCAGTGTCCAGGTCGGTGAAATCCGGACTTCAGTTCCCAGTCGGAAGGATCGGGCGTTACTTGAAGAAAGGAAGGTATGCACAGCGAGTGGGGACCGGTGCTCCAGTTTACATGGCGGCCGTACTCGAGTACTTGGCTGCTGAGGTAACCTTCTCCCATCTGAATTCCCATTTTCCATTCATCTTGTTAGTAACGAACAGGACTAAATCGTGTTGAATTTTCTTCAGCTTCTTGAGTTGGCCGGGAATGCGGCAAGAGACAACAAGAAAACTAGGATCATCCCACGACACGTACTTCTTGCCATAAGAAATGATGAAGAGCTTGCAAAGCTGCTTGCTGGGGTCACCATTGCTAGCGGCGGTGTGCTTCCCAACATCAATCCTGTTCTTCTCCCAAAGAAGACCGAGAAGGCCACCAAGGAAACCATCTCTCCTGCCAAGGCAGGAAAATCTCCAAAGAAAGCCTAGTTGTTCTAGATATATTGTTATTTTGATTTGATCTACTTAATTATATGTGATTTTTGGTTCTAGGAGCTTGTTTTTCTGAATGTGTAGGCCTTAGTAAATGAATTGAATGAAAGCAAAAACTGCCTGTTTATGCATAATTCTTTCCTTGCCCTTTTGAGCAAGAGAGCAAAAAATTGGAAAAATCTTTGTGTCAACCTTGAAAATATTTGAAGATTTATCATAACAGGAGTACATGTTAATAATGGTCCCACGAAGCCAAAACAAAGAACTTGAAGATTAATGATCAAGTGCTTAAAAAAGTTTCTCCTCCAATTCTAGCTCAGAAAGTCTATGATTCTGATACAACTTAAAAGTAATATGTTAGCAGTCAAACAAATTTCAAAAGAATTTTACTTTCAAGTGTTTTTGTTTGCATCATCTGTAGAGCCTTGAGCAAATTCTACAAATATCATCCTTGGACTATCTGCACAGAAGATCAAAAGCTTAATTGAGAATCTGAGATACGTAATCTTCAAAAAAATTTGTCATGTACAAACTTTCCTTTCAATTTCCTTTCAAGACCGAGAAGGCCACCAAGGAACCCACCTCTCCTGCCAAAGCAGGAAAATCTCCAAAGAAAGTCTAGTTGTTCTAGATATATAGTTTTCTTGATTTGATCTCCTTATATGTGATTTTTGGTTCTAGGAGCTTGTTTTTCTGAATGTGTAGGGCTTAGTAAATGAATTGAATGAAAGAAAAAACTGCCTGTTTATGCATAATTCTTGGCCTTTTGAGCAAGTGAGCAAAAACTTGGAAAAATGTTAGTGTCAATCTTGAAAATATTTGAAGATTTATCATAACAGGAGTACAGGTTAATAATGGTCCCTCAATGCAAAAACAAAGAACTTGAAGATTAATGATCAAGTGCTTAAAAAAGTTTCTTCTCCAATTCTAGCTCAGAAAGTCTGATTCTGATACAACTTAAAGTCTGATTCTGATACAACTTAAAAGTAATATGTTAGCAGTCTCAAACAAATTTCAAAAGAATTTTACTTTCAAGTGTTTTTGTTTGCCTCATCTGTAGAACCTTGAGCAAATTCTACAAATATCATCCTTCCTTGTACTATCTGCACAAAAGATCAAAAGCTTAATTGAGAATCTGAGGTACATAATATTCAAATAAATTTGTCATGTACAAGCTTTCCTTTCAATTGACTGTCAAAACCAGATCTGGATGTGAAATAAACAACAAAGCAAGTGGGAATTGGTTCTATGTTCCTTCTGGATAAAATGTTTTCATTATCAGAATATCAAAAAGAAGTTCAATTAAGAGGAATGATTCTCATGTCCTATATGACTATATCTTATAAGAGATCATAGAGAAAAATAAAGTTCAATATTCTCTAATAAAATATCAACAACAAAATATTTATTACTAATGATAATGGATTCATGGAGAGGATAAATGATAACACATTAACACTCACATACCAACCATTTCACTGGTTTAGTAAGTCACTGTTTCTTCAAGTGATTTAACTGAATATATACTAATTGTAACTAACTGAATAGAATTTAAGAGTGGCATATGTTTTGAGTCTTCCATATTCTTTGCATAATGGTCCAATGCTTGAACCATGAATACAATCTCCTTGGACATCCTTTTCTCAAAAACCCCTCTGATGTATGGAGGTGGAATTTGATCCTAGTCCTATATCCACCATAGGATTTGACAAACTAGCATTTATTTTCTCCCTAATGAAAATTGTGGCCTACACAAGCTTTTTAGCAGTTTTCTATGTATAGTTTGTACTGAGGACTTCAATTTGTGGGTATTCATCAAAAACAGTTACTACTTTCGCTACCTGCATCGATATTCAGCAGCTAAAATAAGCAAAATATGAATCTTGAACTGATGCAGATTTCATCTCAATGGATAAGTGCAGAAACTAACCAACCATTATGGGAAATTAACTTTCTTGCATTCTAGGTGGACAAACAAATTATCCTGAATGCAGTATGAAGTTGTGATAAATTTAAGATTTGAGTTTGAGAAGAATTACCCTGCCATTCATGGCTTTCAGTGCTTTCTGTGCCTCAGCTGCTTTCTCAAATTTGACAAAACCAAATCCTTTAGGTCTTTGGGTTTTCGGGTCTCTGATTAACCTAGCTACAAGGAAAAATTCAGGCAAAACCCCAACACAGAAACAAAGTCAATCACCACAATTTACCCAAAAATATTGAATGAAGTGAAAATCCCATAAGTAATATCACTGAGAAAGATCACCTTGTTTAACGACCCCAAATGGTGAAAACAACCTTTTGAGTTCATTTTCTGAGTTGTAGAATGACAGCTCTACATAAACAAAAACAATTTTTAAGTAGTTTAACATACATAACATTTAACAATGCGTCAAGGTGAAGAGAGAAAGCTGGTATTTACTACTAATAAAGAGCTCCGAACAGAGCTTCTTCGCCATTCCGAGGCTAAAATTCAACAGGCACAGATGATTAATACCAAAAATATTCAATAATATATTAAATAAACTGAATAATCCCTGGCAACGAAGGTTGAGGTATTACGAATAAGAATTACTTCTAAAAAAATATATCAAAAATCAAAATAATTTTTTTAAAAAATGAAATTCAAATTTAATTGATTTATTTGAAAACTCGAATTTGATTAAAATGTATTTGAATTTGAAATTCTATTTTACTTAAATATAATATATTTAAATTTGATCCAAATACATGTATTTAACACTATATATTTCAAAATTAAAATTACACATATTTTAAAAATAATTTTTAACCCTTGAATTTCAATTTTAAATACTTATATTTTATCAAAATGAGAAATTTTGGACCAAACTTCTGGTTGTAGTCAGGGATGGCTAAACGGTGTGTTTTGGTTTAGGTGAGTTGAGCCCAGGGAATGGAAGGCCTGGGCTTATGTCCAAAGCCCCCAAAATCTTAATTTAGTGACGTCTTGAGGCCCAACGGTAAGAAAATGAATGCTTTTAGAATGAAGGAAATTTACAATTAAATGAAAAAAAAATTAAGATCTTGTCAATGCTCAGATCTCCGGAACTCAACAGGTAATTCGGTATATTGTCTAATTGAATCCTCGGTTACAACATTAAAGTCCAAAAAAAAAAAAAATCCATAGTTACAACATTAGCATTTAGCACTAACAGTAGCAATTCCACTAACCATCTAAATTCTCACTGACTTACGGTTCAGGTTTCCCTGACTTACGGTTCAGGTTTCCCTTATTTTGTATTGTATACTGTTCCAAGTCCTACAATAGGAGCAATTCCACTAGTCGAACATCTCAATTCTCACAGTTACACTTCACGTTTCTTGCGTTCAAATACCTAACAACAAAAGCAATTCCTCGACTCACCATCTCAATTCTCATATTTTTACAATTCAGATGTCCTGGAACTATCCTTCTAAGAGAAGATAAGGATCTTGCATGTTCATAGCCGGCATTAGGTGGTCATCAACATCACACATCATCTCTCCATTCCAGTACCACAGCATAGCCCCTCATCCAGGTTCTTAAATCAAAAACCAAGGGAAAAAAAATTCATTCCAGTAGCTTTCTTTGCAATTGGTGTCCAAAAATACTTACAACATCATAAGCAAGGAGTTTCCTTCTGGAGGGGTGGGTTGGGTGTTTTCATAGCAACCTAAAAATTGTAGTATTTGATTAGAAGTTAGAAGTTCTGATCTTACGTACAAACAATGTTGAAAGAACTTGCAATTTTTCGGCCCAAATGTGAGAAGCAATTGGCATAGTATTCATTTCTCAGTGTCCCACCACTCACAACATTCTCACAGTGAGGTTCCGAGCTATTGTGTAATAAGTTACAACTACATGTCAGGAAAAAAGATCAATCAAATGGTAAGTAAACCAACTGAAATTCAACCCAATGCGGCTTGGGATGAAGACTATCTCACACATCTTTGAACCAGCCTAGGTTATTTATCTGAGAATAGATTGAAAAGTAATAGTTAGATTCTTATATTTTTAGGGCGCTGCTAATTATAGTATGAAGACAAACAAACATAAACAGAGAGAAAGAAAGAGAAAAGCAGTTTCTTTGCCCATGAATTCTTTGTTGTTGGCAATGTGTGTAAAGCATTTACGGCAGACATAGAAATGACGAACTACAGTTTCATCAAACTCAAACAAGAATCTGTTCTCTGGATGCACGAGATGTGGATTATTGTGCTTTTTCCCATTCCAATACAGTACACGCCTACACGGTCCCTTGATCAATCATCCAGACTCTTGAATCAATTATAATTTTATTGCAGTTGCACTATACAGTATATCGGTTCTACGAAATACTTACAGACTGAGTACAACTCTTCCTTCCATCAATTTTCGGTAGGGTGCTGAAACCTGAAAATTGAGGGATTTTATTGTTTAGAAGGTTTGAATCTGCTCGAGTGAATTTCAAGGGAACTGAGACACTGTCAACCAACTTACAATTCTAAAGCCCAATGCTTTGTTACAGTTGTGAGTACCACAAAACACATTTGCCAATGTACAGCCTTTCCTCTACCAATTATCTTTGGGATCTGCAGTTTGAACATCGACCCTGCATTACAAAAGCATGCTCAGACTTGGTCATGTTTATTAGAGGAAAACTATTGAAATTATTCAAACCAGTTATCCTAAAATTAAATATCAACTTTTGAGCCAAGATCATCCAATAGAATATCTTACACTTTCTTGAACAAGGCTGTCCTAACATCCTGCAAAATATATGAAGAAAAAGTCAGATCACTTCATCTCTCCACATTAATTTGAGGAACATTTCATAGGCACATATAATTTTCAGTGAGAGGCCATCTAATCATGCCATCCAAGAAACAAAAATACCATATTCTTTCATTCTAGTTGGCATTATTGAAGTTTCTTGACTGCCAAAGTATACAAGTCTTTACAAAATTTGGATGACATTTGCTTGCAAAGACACTAGATTATGAAATAGAAGAAGGGATGCAGTAAAAAACAGAGATGTTGTGTTTCAGATGTAGAAGGGTACTTCAAGCACCATTAGCAATGACTCTCTTGAGTATGTAAAACATAGCTTCTAGAAGAGAAGGCATTGCAGAGTATAAAATATGCAGCCAATTACATGACAATTGACAACTAAAGAGAATCACCCTTCTAGATTTGCAAAACCATGATTCAAGAAAAACCTCAAGAATGCAGAATCAAAGGCGAATTTAAAGTTTAGGTTTCCAGGAAGTTAAAGCACATAACATTAACCAGTCTTGAAAATTATGCAAAAATAGATACACACCCTACGTGTGTAGTGTTGGCTCATCACATTCTTGTTATTGCATGCTTTGCAACGAAAGCAAGATGCCATGTTTGTCTCTGCCATGCTTGATCAAATATTTCTGTGGGATATTGTGGCTGTTCTGAAAAAATGGTAGCTAGCAAGAAGAAATGGATGAAAAAACAAAAGCGAACAAAGAAGGCGCACTGGCGGTTTTACATAACCCAAGTAGTTGTTAACCAAGATATAAATACTTATCCATCTCTATCAAACTTTATTTTATCTAGAAAGAGAATCTTTATCCACCCTAGATCTCTGTCTAACTTTTAGTCCCAAAAGATTTGATAATCACCATTAAAACGAGCTATTGCATTATAATTATAATAACACCCCAAATGTAGATATAAATAAATAATGCTAAAATAAACTGGAACTAATAGTACTAAACAGAATTAAACATTAGAACTGATTGATATTATAACCAAAATTATATAGTTTTCTTTTCAAGAAAATGTAGAATAGTACATGGACTCTATTTCTTCTAATTACATAGAGGATAGTACACATTGTGCAAATACAGGAACAAAACATACTATCAAGAAGCTTACAAATTTCCTGCTCCAAAACAAGTTGCTTTTGATGCAATGGACACTTGAGACTGTATGTACATGAGTCATCCTTGCAGCAGTGATACTGATTTTCAGGGTTGACACTGCATGTCAATACATGATCAATCATGGTTTCTTAAGTATATTATATAATAGAGTTCATAAAGGCAAATAAACTAATGAATTCAACTTTCATTAGTCAAAAACATGGAGGAAATAAGAATTCTTGATGAATTTATTATCCATTCTTGCATACAACTTTTCAATGGACTCCCTCCTAACAAAAGGATTTATAGTTAGATCATGGGAGAGTTATGGGAAAAGGAAAAAAAAAAAAGTAGTTGAGGAAATGGTACTTCCTAACTAATGGTTTGTCCTTTGACAATGTGGATGTGACATTTACAACAAAGTTATAGAATATATCTGTAGTTTAATAAATTCAAATAGATTTTGGACACTTGCATCAGGATTCATGAATCAAAACTAAGGCATAACTACGACAATGCTGCCAAGATATCTTAAACAAAATTTGCAGACACAGGATAGCGTGTTGATTCAATGAAGAACTAAATACAGCAAAAAAAGTGATCATGAATTTGAAATTACCTTGCCGTCCATGGCTTTGGATTCCCTGTGCGCCTCAACTTCTCCCTCTCATGTTACCGGATCGAGATCCTTTACATCTTTGATCAGTAGAGCCACGAGCAGAAGATCCAAACGATTCCAACTTGATAAGTAGTGAATCGCCATAATCTTTAAAAATTAATAAAATGAAATGCTATTAATAAATTTAGATGGAAATCACTTTATGTATCAATTGTGAATAGTGAAAATAGGTCTAAAAAGAGAGATTTGAACAATGCAAATGAAGAGAGGAAGTGCGTGTACTGTACTGCTAAGGGACTGCGAGAGAGCTGAGAATCAAGTCCCTTAGCCATTCTGAAGGCTGCTAAACTACAACCGACACGGCGAAGCAGCTGGATGTTCCGTCAATTCAAAAATTCCCGAAGGAAATGACAACATTCATCAGACATGAACGAGAAATAGAACCACCGGCGAGTTTCTTCTCAACGTCGACTCGTGAATAATCGCCGGTGGTACTGGCGGAATTTTTTATTTTTATTTTTGTACTTACTGTCTCCCTTGCTTTTCGTCAAGAAACACCCACAAGGTCCAAAGTGCAATTTGATGTAAGTTGAGCCCAAAAAGCTCACAATTTTCGTTTGTTGACTTGGTCATGTTCAGTTCAAATCAATGTGGTCAAACGGTAAAAACAAATATTACTAAGATAATAAAAAAAAAAAGTTTGGATACTTATTTATTGAAATTTTATAATTTTATAGTTTTTTAGTACTAGATTAGTAAATAACGATGTGAATTAGTATCAATCTCAAGGAATAAAATATTTTTTATGGTAGGAATAAATATATATATATATATTTTTTGAACATTTTGTCATGGACCAACTGGAATCGTTGCCTTAGGAGAGAAAAAAATAAATTTTGCAATAGTGATTAAAGCCACTTGACCCACAGAAACAGGTTCGGTAAGAATAAATATATTTTATTTTGATAATTTTTAAAAATTTTTATTTTTCTATGCTAATATGATTTTTATAGGAAATATCAAATATGGTATTTCAACAATAACAAACCTAAAATAGAACGATTTATTTTTATTTCTTTTTTGTAAGCCTTTTTAAAAAAAAATTTTTGAACTATTTGAGGGTAGGAGATTGAATCCAGCACTTGTTGAGAAAAGTGTGCACTCCATTAACTGGCCTACAACGTCAAGCGCTCCATAAATAATAAAACCAAGTGAATTTCTATAGCATAATTGCCATTCCAATTTTATCACATGGACATGCAGACCAAAAGAACACAGAACCAGAGAATACTTCTTGTTTTTCTTTTATTTTTCTTCTGAAAGCCTTAGGAATGAGGAGGGTGTCACATTGAATACAAATGCTCTTGGGCATAGAGCCCAATTGGTAAATAATGCACCTAATTTGCCCGGTAAAAGCCCCTTGAGGGCTAGTGTTCTAATCGCTATCCCATCCCCTAAAATTTTATATGGTCAAAGGAAAAAAAAAAAAAAATCAACCTTTACAAATAGTTATGTGATTAGAATTTGATTCTAAAACTAGAATTACAAATAAAAATAAAAGTTGTGTTGACAATCTCCAACTAGGCGCAGGTCCTCCGCATGACACATCGTACTTCCGTTCCAATACAACAGATCATGTGTGTACACCCAGAATATATAATAATCTGAAATCAAATTAAGTTAAATATGTAATTGATATTTAGCTTTTAATATAATAATAATAATAATAATATATCAAAAATATTTATTAATTTGGCATCTAAAAAATTTTTAAAAAATATTTTTAAAAAATTAAAATATTGTATTTTAAAAGTGAGAACTGCTTTTTTTAAAAACATTTTATTAAAATGATATAATTTTACTATCTTTCTCATCCTAAATTTATAAAAACTTAACGAATAAACACTAATATTTATTCTGTTTGATTTGGGGCTCATTTAGTAATACTTACAATCTAAGCAAAAATCCGTTGTCCTTGCGTGTGGGGTGAGGCTCCTCTGAAGAAACCTGAAAATTTTAGTTAAGTATTGTTCTGATCTTGGAAGCATAAAGTCATCGTGAAGACAGAAGTGTTGAGGGAAATTAAATTTACAACTTTGGTGCCCAAAGGAGAAAAGTGCATATTAACCCATGTACTTTTTGACTTATTTGAAATTCCTCCTCCTAACTTTTTTTGGAAAAATTTTAACCCTTAAACTTTTATAATAAAATAAATCGATTCATGAACTTTTTGATTAAAATAAATCCGTTTAAATGTAATTAATGATGTCATAAAATGTCAACATTTCATGAAATCCATTATCAAATCGTTAAGTTATTATTGATTTGACATTTGTGGAACTATTTACCTGACATGGTAAAATTTAATACTTATGTGGACAAAATGTGACGACATGGCTTATAAAGATGCCAACATGATTTAAATTGTTCTAACATAAACCATTTCTCTGGCTTTTTAAATTGGGGCTACAGTTTCTGTTGGGGTTGTCATCATTGTCTTCTTCTTCATCCTCATGTCCTGTAACCACTTTTGTACCTTTAAATTGAGACCTTAAGACCTAGCCTTCTCTCTCCGTTTGGCAACTTTCCTCCTCTATTCCATTCTCCAGCTAACTTTGTTTGACTCCACCCATCATTCAAACTACACTTTTTTTTAACTATTTGAACTTTGAAAAACAACATTTTTTTAAACAATTTTACAAGTATAGAATTACAAGTTAAATCTGATTATAAACTTTTCCTTATAGTATATTTAGATTGACAAAACAAAATTTTTTTTAACTAATTAAATTATAATATTTTAAATATTATAATTAAATAATTAAAAAACTCTTTCATCCCATACATTCCCCTCAACCCAACTCAAATATACTATTAGGAAAACTTAAATATTATTACAAAGGATTTGATCACCTCTAATTTATTAACTCAAGATTGGTCCATCATATGAGTACAAGTCATATGAGTACAAGTCATATGATGGACCAATCTTGAGTTAATAAATTAGCTCCGTGGGGCTCCGCGGGGATCCCCATCCCCGAAAAAAAAAAAAAGTTTTTATTTTAAAATTAATTTATCTTTTAAACTCAAACCCAAACCCAAATTCAAATCCAAACCCAAACCCAAATTTAATCCAATTACAATTAAATTTAACCCAATACTATCCAACCCAACCCAACGCCCAACCCAACCCAACCCATTCCCCTACATTTAACCCTAACCCTAATTTATTTTAATTCTCATCACTCAATTTCTTTAACTGCAGCTTCACACATCTCTTACGTCCATCTCACCTTCAGTTTCCCTGCTGTTGCTATTGCTGCCACCGGAGCCATCTGCTGTTGCTGTCGGACCATATGTTGTTGCCACCACCGAACCCATCCGCTGCTGCTGCTGTTCAGCCAAAGCCATCTGCTCTGCTGCTGCTGCTGGCTGCCACCACCAGACCCATCTGCTACTGCTACTGCCACTGAACAACCAAAGCCATCTGCTTTGTTGCTGCTACAGGAGCCATCTGCTGCTGCCGAACCCATCTGTTGTTGCTGTTGGACCCATCTGCTGCTGCTGCTACCGCCACCGGAGCCTGCTGCTGTTGTTGCCGCCGCCGAACAGCCTAAGCCATCTATTTTGCTACTGTTGCCGGGGCTATTTAATGTTAATTGGTGGGGAATGGGGACGGGGGGCAAAATCTGCCCCCTGTCAAAAATCCCCGCGGGGATCCCCGTCCCCGTGATTTGCGGGGACGGGGATGGGGAAGGGGTCCCCGGCACCGCAGGGCCCCGTTGACATCCCTAAGTACAAGGAAATGGATGAATTGTTCCATCAAAGGAAAATAGCAAAGCATCAATTGGGATACTACTAATCTAAAACATTAAAAGGCACAATCAATTCAAATTTAAGAGACTAAAAACTTTTTCATTTCAGAGTCATATTAATACCTCTTACATCCACCATAATCACCCAATCAAAATACAAAATTGCATCATCACTACTCTAAAAAACCCTATAGCTGAAATCCAAAAACCCAAATATCCCAATTTCAACATTCACATTCACAATTTGTAATACCCAAGGATTATTTACGTAAGATTTAAATAAATTATTTAAGCACTTAGAGGGTGTAAATGTGATAGAATTAAATATGGGGTTTAATTATAATGAGGTGAGGAGTTCAAGGATTTAGTTATAAGAATTCCTTAGGGACTAGCTAAGTTGTAAAAATATCACAGGCACTAGGTTGTAAAAAAAACCCTTTTGTTAAAAACCTAAATTAGAATTGTTTGGCAATTTTCATTTTCTTTAGGATTCGAAATGTCTTCTTTCTCTCGCCAGTAAAGAAACACAACACAAGGTATCTAGTCATATTAGAGTTAATCTGAGGTAAATTGTCTTCTTAAGCTTAAATTTAGATGATTAAAAGAGTTGTGGGGGTGAAATTTAAAAGCTTCTCTCAATATTCATTTATTAAGCCTCCTTTGTCTCATAAATTCTCACCAGAAGAGAAGAAGACACTAATGGGGGATGTTATTTTCAGGCATAGCTAGAGGTAATTTATTATTCATGGTTGATGAAATATTTAAGAATTTTGGAATGAAGAGAATGGGCAGATGCATGGTTGGTGAGATTGATTGGACTGTAACAAATAGATTTTGGTATTGATATTAAAATTATGAATTTGGGTGGTGTGACATGAGGAATTTTCAAGGGGGAATTATTTATTTAGGTGGTTAGTTTCCAATAATGTGTGTCGAAATGGTTGGGTTTGATGAAGAAGATGATAGCGGCATGGTTATAGAATTATTTCATGTAGATGCTTGATAAGTAAAGGATAAATTGTTACTTGGTAATTGAATTATGCTTACTTAATGTTCATTTAGGTTTCAAGTAGTTGTATGGCAGTTGCATTTTGAAAGATAGTTATTGAGGTAACTAGCTATATTTTGTAGTGTTCATAAAGTAAAATTAAATTGTTTAAGTGAGTTTTGTTCAGCTCCAATTTTATTTTAATGATTTTAGCTAAAATATTTTAAACATGGAATAAGATGATTTGTGGACCAAGCATGATATTTTATTTAAGTTTGAGATGAGATTGTGGTGATGTGAAGATGGCTAATTTAAATTTTTTTTTCTTTATTTTTATTGGAATGGTTTTTGTATCGTTTTAATTGTATGATTCACCCTAATGAGGGTTAAGTTGCTTGTATTGTAATAGACCCATAATCTATGTATTGTGAATTGTGGATAATGTATGATGGCATATAGATGGTGTATCATGGATTGAGGATTGTGGATATTGTGAATTGTTACACGGCCATAAAGGGTGAAAAATGTATTACTTGGTTTTGAGAAAAGAATTGTGTTTTCTTTTATCGTTTCATTTTACAGTAAATTTAGTTTAAACATCTTTTTTTTTTTCTTTGTGCTTGCTTGTGCTGGATGGGTACACTACTTACTGAGTTCTTAAACTCACAAATTTTTTCAAAACTCATCTCATTTCAGGTGAAGAAGTATGAGCATTGGAATTTGCATGGAGATTGAGAGATCGTTGGAATAAATTGGCAAGATCTAATTATAACTCAATTAGAAGATTATTTTGTTTTATGGAATAAGTTGTTAAATATTTTACGTTTTTGGCTAAGAACTTATGCCTGTTATTTGGAGACCAGTTAGTTTTATTATTGGAATAGTTTATTGAAGGAGCAAGGCTGTGTTAAATTTTTATAGGTGATTATATTGATTTTTAAGATAGATAACCTTACACATTTATGTGGTCACTTTATAGATGTATGACATTTGTTATGCCTTAACCTTTGAGTTTGGACGTGCCATAGTCCATAACTCAAGAGTTGGGAAACTTAGTCATTGCCTTGGTCCAATGGCGGAGGGAAGGGGGGGCGAGGGGTGGCGCTTGCTCTCCTTGAAATTTGAAAATTTTGTAAATTAGTAAATGAAAAATTATCTTACCCCCTGAACTTTGAAAATTTGTAAATTAATATATATATAATTTTCTTTTCCTCCTTCCTTAAAGTTGGACAATTTTTCAATAAAACTATTTCATTACGAAACTTATTAGTCCATCTTTTACTGCCCATTTCCAAACCCACTCATCCTTGGATATAAAGCCCCTTATATTAAGTCTACTCATCATTTGATACAAAATCCCTTATATAAAGCCCAACCCATATTAGTGAAAAAAAAAAAACATAAAGAGTGTCAAAGACGCCAAGTTAGTGAAAAAAGCATAAAGAGTGTTGGAGATGCCATTTCCGACTCGAAGTCCGCCTTATCACTCATGTGCAATAGATTAAAGGAGAATGGTAGAGGAGAGAATAGACAATTTGTAAAGCTAGAAGGTGAAAAGTATTTAAATTAGTAGTCAAAACTCAAAAGCATTTAATTTTTTAGAGTTTTTTTCATCAATTTATTAGTGTGTCAGTGAATGGTTCCCAAAATCATAAGAAGATAGTTTTTTTTGCTCCTCTCTCTTTTGGTCAATTTAATTCAAAACAAGGGCACTAGAGCATGTTCTTAACTTTTTATCTCCCTATTCTCTTTATATTTATAGTTAATTTTGTTGAGTGATTGAAAAAAATTATAATTTCATACTTTTGGAAAGTTGGAATTACAGTTACTCATTATAATTTAATTCTTTTTATGTTAGGTTTTGGTCAATTTAATTCAAAGCAAGGAGCACTAGAGTAGGTTCTTAACTTTTTATCTTTCTATTCTTTTTATATTTATAGTTACTTTTGTTGAGTGGTTGAAAAAATTATAATTTCACACTCTTGGATAGTTGGAAATACAGTTACTTATTATAATTTAATTCTTCTTATATTAGGTTTTGAGTTTTTTGTGCAATTGTTAAATTTTTGGTAAATAATGAATGTGATCTTTTAAATATTTTATTTGAACCATGAACAAAAAATTATGTATTTCAATGGTCTTTTTTTTTTTTTTTCCCTTCTGGGGTTGTGATACCACCCTTTGTTTTAGATTGTGAAGAAACTGAAACGTTATTAGAGTCTTTGGCTTTTTGGGATCTTATGAAAGAGAGTAAGGGATTACTTTTATCGGGATACTTAGGCGCTAAGAAATGCATACGAGTAGTTGAGGCTTTGGAATTTCTTGTCATATTTAGTTTAGTAATATGGTTTTTTTTTTTTGTTTGTATTTAATAGACGACATGTAATTAGTTAAAAGTTTAAAACTTCGTATGAAAAACTTAATATTTTAATTTTAAAATAAATGAATTTTGTTTAAAGAGATAATTATTTTTTATTGTATAATCTATAATTTGATATAAGAAAAAATAATTACTTTTTGTTTATTTTAAAAGTTATTAGTAGTAAAATGTTTGAACGCTTATCTTGTGGGGTTTGTCTTCTATTGTTATTCTTTTTTTAATGTTTGTTTTCGAATCCCTTTTACTAAGGTTTTTATGGGTATCTTTTTTCT